AATAAAAGTTGTCCAGGATTGTGCAGTTACATTTATGTTCAAGCCATGTATGGCTGCCTTTTAAATCTCACAGCTAAACCCATGGAAAACTGGGAGAATGAAGATAGCCTCATCTCTAATTTGAAGCCTTGCGCACTTTCCATTGAGTATCTATGGAGACATAGGGAATGGCCTTGAAGCACAGGAGGAAGAGTTACTACCACAGCAACAGTAAGATAAGAAGATCATGAATCTGTAACTGAGTAATACTGGTAAGACAGAATGTATCAAGCAAGCCCTTTCCTAGTTCACATGAAGATAAAGTGAGGGAGGAGGAAACACATTCAGATTTGGAGGCCTGTTACTATAGATGTTACAATAAAAGTAGCCCCAAAAGCATTTTTTCAAAAGGCAACTAGACTTTGTTTTCCCTTGAAGACATTTCACTTCTCATCTAAGAAGCTTCATTAGTTCTGAAGAAGTCCAACTGCCTTTTGAAAAAGCACTTTTGGGACAATCATGACCTGGATGACTGAGAATCTCCATAGACAATAAAAGTAGTCCAAACCCATGTGGTGTTGGTTTCATAGTCTGGTCTACCTTGCGGGCTCCAGTACTCCATTTTTTTTCAACCAGCTTTGTGGGATGCGATTGCTGCCCTAATTTGCAATCTCTTTGCATCTTCATTTCTCTTAAACACATTTATTTTTATACTTGCTTTTTCTAACATATCAAACTGTACAATTTATAATTTCATGATTACATGCTACTTCCATCAATATGTAAATATTTGTCCATATTTCCCACAAATAATTATGTTTTGAGGCTCACTGCTCATAAATAACATCACAATGTGTTTCACGATTGTCAGTTTAGTATACTTTGTTTTGTGCATTAGTTTAAAGAATGCACATTTTGTAAATTTGCAATAAAATGAGAAGTTGATTTCCCACCCATCCCTAGTTTAATCAGATGTAGTTTGAGTCATTAAATCAAGTGTTGAGCAATAGCAAAAAAACCCAATGACAACTCACTATACTGATTATTACTTGATTCTTGTAGCCCAGCCAATGATGCCACCTAGTTTCACTTCAGAAATCCCTCTTTACCAAAATTAATCCACATTTCTTATTAGCTATCACAAGCATTCTAAAATATACCAAGATAATTATAAGAACAAATCCAACACATTTAGTTAACTTAAAAATCTCAAAAGCAGACAAGCTTTCAGCAGTTTTTAAAATTTCTTCACCAACTAAAGTATTAGAAAAATTAGGTTATGAGGGAATAAAAAATACATTAACTACACTGTTAGAGTTTAGTTCAAAAGTGTGCAGTTACATGCATTTCTTGAATATAGTTTAAAGAGACAGTGAGAAGTTACTATTAAATTGTCATTTTCAATACACTAGGGAAAATATTACATGGTGTATATGATTGGACATTAATCTTATTAATTCTATTTTAATTAAAATGAAATGTAAGATACAGAAAATCAATTTTAGTTTTTAACCTGGCCTCATTCACTACTTTTTGGAAAACTATCCTTGCGTGTTATTCAAAGAAGTACTGTTGGAGATGTAAGCATTTATATTATACTCTACCGGTCACTGCATACTTGGCTTATATCCAGCCCTATTATTGTATTTCTGGAATCAAGAAGGAAAAGAATGACTCTTTTCCTGTTCTGAGAAAAATATAAAATGTTCTTGCAAATTATTTTTCTAGCATGACTTTTTAAGCATTCAGACCTGTCAGACCTTAAGATTAGCTATGCATTCCCAGGAACAATTCTCTACCCCACTCTGCCCTTTTAAGTCTTATCTGAAAGAGTTCACAATGGCCTGCCACACCCTACTTACAGGCAAATTCAGTCACAAAGCTTTTTTTTCACCTTATGCTGAGTGAAAGAAGTCTAAGCTTTCCTCCCAACACTGAAATTGCAAATGGGGAAGGGTGGGTACAATTCTTCAACTCCAAAGATGAGTAAACACCTGAATACTTTTTTCTTTAATTATACCCTTGCTTTGTACAAGCAAAACACCTTGATTCTGAGCTGCCAATGTAATTCAATTACTATAAACACACTGGATTCACAACTCACATTGTTGTAATGTGGTTGGTTTTAGCTTAGTGGGTTGTGTGAAGGAAGAAAGCTGTTCGGAAAACTTAGAAATGATCCATTTGGTATAAGCAAAACAAAACAAGTTGGCTTGACTCAGTACACAACTGCAAAATTCGCAACTTAACCTTAAAAACATAATGCCTATAAACATAATTACCCCCAAATATATTATGGCTTAACATGATGAATTGGCTTTCACAATGTATTAAGGCAATGACTGAATTCCCAAAACATTAAACTGTAAATTACCGAACAATACAGGTAGTCCTCAAGTTACGAATGTAATGGAGCCTGCCAATTACATTTGCAAACTGAGGAGTCGGAGTGAATCATATAAAATGAACATGAAAACACCCTCCTTTTGCCCATGCATTGGCTAATTGATTGTGCAGGTTAAGTGCACATGAGGTATCTTGGGGGGGAGTGAGGCCATGGGGGGGTCTAGTAATGGAACAGGCCACCCAAGGCCTCCTCCGATCCACTGAGATACCTCATGTTCCCCACAATTGTCGTCCCCCCCCCAATCCTGCTGTGCCTGGTCATAGGCCCAGTGCTTGTGGAGACTCAGCAGAGTAGGAATAAGCAGGGTGAATGTTGTGCTACAACATTCATAACCTCGTGACTGTGAACTGTCATAAGTCAAGGATTACAGGTAGTTTAGCCCATTGTGTGAACAAATCTAGCACATTATGTGAACCCAGGCTTTTTGTCTTCAATGCTCTTCGACTACATCCAAGATGCAGAAGTATTCAGGCTTGTTCTTAAATTTTCATTCTAAGAGACAGAATCCCATTCTGTTGAGTACAAGGGAAGGTATATTCAGCTATGTCATCCCAAATTTGCTGGCTCATAATGCAGGTAATCTCCACAACTAATTACTGTTGCCAAGAAAACTATATGGATTCATATACCTTTCCTTTGAGAGCTCAAGTTGAAATACATGATGCTTCTTCCTCAAACCCAAAGTCATATGTGAATTTCTGTTGCTAAGACTGGATTTGAACCTGCAATGTCAATCAACTCATTACCTCAATACAAGGGCATTATTACTTTTTAAATTATAGGCAACATACTAGGTTTTATGTTGTTTTAAACCTTCATACTGATGGCAACCTTGCAATATTTCTCCATGATATTAGCATCCGTAGGAAAACAGATCATCCAAAATGATGATGTATATTTAAAATTATTCCTTTTAATCTGAACTATACAAAACATATGTCCATTATAAATAAATAAATGCAACACCCTGTCCAATTATGGCTCTGCCTTTCTATTCTAAATCTTTCACAGTCAAAAACATCTATAACACACTGGATATTTGCCATGTGACTGATTTTCACAGGTGGCTTAATGGATGGGGTTCAATCAAATAAAGATAGAAAAGATAGTCTTATCTACATGAAACTGAGCCATGTAGAACTTAAAAGTTGGCCACCAGTATCTTGAATTGGACCCAGAAGCAAACTAGTAACTAATCACATTACAGGTGTTAACACTGTCCAATCTGCTACCTTGCCACAAACAAGATAGAAACTACCGTAAATGCCGGCGTACAAGGCGACCCGGCGTATAAGACGACCCCCGTCTTTATAGCCGAGCCGCATTCCTAGAACGTCGTCTTATACGCCGGAAACTACCAGTATTTCCGGCGTATAAGACGACTCGGCGTATAAGACGACCCCCGTCTTTGGCGCCGATTTCAGTGCTCGCGGAAGTCGCCTTATACGCCGGCATTTACGGTATATAGAAGATCTGCCAGCTGCAGGTATCAAGTTGTCTATCTAAATATATGATCCAGGGTTTAAATTTTAAGACTTTTGTTTAGAGCAGTGTTTCTCAACCTTGACAATTTGAAGGCATGTGGACTTCAACTCCCAGAATTCCACAGCCATCAATGCTGGCTGTGGAATTCTGGGAGTTGAAGTCCACATGCCTTAAAATTGTCAAGGTTGAGAAACACTGGTTTAGAGTTTTTTCAATCAGTGGAAATCTGGCCATGCTGAGGCTTGGAGGCATCTTATCAATGCTTACACAACAGTTCTGTCTAGCCTGAGAACCAGTAATTCCTGACATACCAGTTTAAGTTCTTACAGATTGGGAAAAATTTGTACCACAAATCCTGGAAAACTTCTAACATTTAGCATTAACAGTACTGAGCTGGGTGGAACAATGTCTGCCTGGGGAGAAGGTAGCTTCATAAGTATAGAAGTGGGAGAGAAACTGGTAGTGAAGCTGAGGATGGAACTGAAAGGCATAATCTCATTTCCAGCTGTTCAATTCATGCAAATGTCATTTGTTATCACAGCTTTTGTGGGTACAAATATTTATCATTTGAACTCTATCAGGAATTCAAGGGAACATACACAGCATTCCATCCTTCCATTTCACCCCAGCCCCCCAAACAATCACTTTATGACGTAGACTGAACTGAGAGACAGACATTGCTCTAAAATTACTCTCTTACCAATTGTTTTTTTTTAATTGGGGCAGTATAAAAACCATCTGTAAATACATACTCACCCACTGAGCTTTTACACCTTAGAACTGACCAACACACTAACTTCTGAACCACATGGGTTGTATGTGATGATTAAAAGATATCAGGCTGTCAAAACAGACTGTAACAGCCTTATGTTTATAAGGAGCACGGTTTCCTCAACTAGGTCTCTCTCAGATGCATTGACGCTATAATGATTAGGCTGTCTAATCAACATAATCTGAAATCCCAACATATCTGGAAGGCACTTGGTTTAGTAAAACCAGCATAAGGTAACAAAGACCCCAAACATTCCATATTTGTTTATGTTCTACTAAACATTTGAATCAAGGGTTCCAATAAGGAAAATAGGTTTACAGTAATTTAAAAAACACATGTAAACAACTCTAATCTCACCTTGCCATGGCTTCTCTCCACCTTTTGGAAACATTTATTCAGAGAAAGATTATGCCGAACGGAGTTCTTCCAGCCAGTAGGAGCCGTAGCAAAGTATGGGAAGCGTTCCAGAATCCAGCTGTAAATTTCTTTCACTGGCAAGCTTTTATTAGGAGAATGTTCAATTGCCATGTATATAAGAAGGCTGAAAGAATATGGGGGCTTAGATGTGGCAGATTTCTTCTTCGGATTAGAATAGCAGGAGGATGGATATGTTGGCACATTATCCCCCTCAATATCATATAGAGGACTAACAACTGGAAGACCTTCACTTCCCAGGCTGAAGTTCGTTAGGAGATTACTATTTTCATGCAGCCAGTTCAAATTGGTGAGCTCATCGTCCGCTACTTCACTATCCACAGCTGTGGCCTTTGGTCGAGCAGCATCACCTGCCTCCGGCAAGCTTCCCATTCTTTGGATATGCCTTAGACCTGCCGCTTTTTCTACTGGTGTTTCAGCTTTCTTATCCGGAGTCATTCCTGTTACTGGACCCATTTAATCTTGTAGGCCTAGACATAAAAATAAAACATTAAGCATTAAAAGAGAGGTTGTTAGTGGCCCTATATCTAGTCTGATCACTGGATCATCTAGTTCAGTATTATCTAAGATTTCTATTTTAACAAATCTTCATCTATATTTTTTACAAAATATCTGACAAAAATGGGATACAGATACTCCTTGTTTACTGATTGACTTGCTTAGCAATTTTTTTCTGTTACGATGATGAAAAAGTACCTTTATGACAAACCCTGCGTTTACAACTTTCATAGGTCTGTAAAGCAAATAAAGGTTTGTTTATTTATTTAGAAAATTTATATTGCTGCCTACTTGCTCACAGCGACTCTAGGTAGCTTACAAACAATAAAACACAGTATAAAAAATAATAAAAAAACAATAACACACACACCCCTCCTCCAAGTTGAAGTAAGATCAAGAGCGCACAGTCACAGTTTTACTTAAAGATCACTTTGTTTAATGTCTGAGTTGCCAAACCCAATTGTGGTCACTAAATGAAGACTATTTGTAGTCTTATTAATGGTGAAGTAGTGATTTATTTACTTTTGAATCTGAAAGTGATGTTAAGGATTCTTGGCTTTCAAAAAAAGTCACTTCACTGCAAAAATACCCCACATCTTCACAAGAGTGTGGACTCTGCTTCTTTGCAGTATTTCTGCAAAGACTGTGCAGCCACATAAATATTTTTATTATTTATTTATTAAATTTATATGCCCCCAATCTCACTAGCAAAGTGATCATATGACCAATATTGATTCTTCATGCGGCCATTCTAGAAAGGACTGCCAAGAAAAAATCTCTAAAAAGTTTTCCATTCCTTAGTGCTTAGAGGATATTGTTGCTACAAAAACAAAATCAAGAGCTAATAGCACCCACAGAGCAAAAATTCCAAATGGTAAAATATAGTTATTCTGGTAATTACGATTATAACATTTACTATCCTAACAGCTTGAACATTCAAAGCAGTCAAGCTAATTACTTCAGCAACTAGTATGAACTTGCAAGGTAGATCAGGATTATTAAAACATTAAAACATCCATTACCTAATCTAAAATCCACACAGACAACACTTTTATTTAGTTAGCAATGTTCATGAAATATTTGCAAACTTTTAAGTTTCCAGGAACTTTATCTTAGGCAAGATAGCAAAAACCTACTGTATAATGCCAACCAAAATTCAGTTAATGCAAGGCTAGCATATCCACAGTTGAGGCTAGCACATCTGTGATTGTCATTGAGGTTTTAGAGGCCAGAATGGCACAACTTGCTGCGAGACAACTTGCCGTCGGACAATTCAACAAATACAAATGCTAAATTAATTTTCACGGAACCTTGGCAATAATAATAACATAAAGTCAATTCAGAAATGCAAGAGTTACAATAGTTTAGACAAAAACATGGTCACCAATAATAAAAGTAACTGGATGAAACAATACAGGATTGAATTGTCCCATGGCGAGTTGTCTAGCAGTGAGTTGTCCCAGATCTGGTAGAGCAGGAGTCCCCAACCCTGGTCCATGGACTGGGAACTGGGCAGTGCAAGCAGTGGCAAGTGCACAAAGCTCCATTTGACAGCCACAGTCCACAGAGACAGAAAGGTTGCGGACTTGTTTTAAAAGCTAATCATGGTGTGAGCAAAATGGAGAAAAGGACGATTCTGCTGGAGAAAGCTCAGAAAAGATGAGATTCATTTTGAAGAACTACAGCAGTATAAGAGATATGAGTTTATCTTCCAGCATGTCCTTTGTTTGCTTGATGTATATATTTTAAATATTTATGAGATCTATAATCCATTAGAAAGCAATAAAAATGCTAAAACCACATAAAAATGACTGAAAGGTAGTATTAGTAACAATGTTGCTACAATGTCCTAGTAATAATAATAATAATAATAATAATACTGATATACTGAAATTAGTAGATCAGGAAGGCTTACTGACTACTGGAGAGACCAAACTGGCCTACAAGAAAGACCAAATGAAGAACAGAATAGAGGCATGGGAAGACAAAGCACTACATGGCCCATACATTAAAAAAATAGCTGGGAAAGCAGATAATAACAAGACCTGGCAATGGGTGGAAACTAACCAAAGAGAGAAGCAACCTAGAACTAAGGAGAAACCTCCTGACAGTTAGAACAATTAACCAGTGGAACAACCTGCCTCCAAAAGCGGTGAATGCGCCAACACTGGAAGTTTTTAAGAAGAAACTGGACAACCATTTGTCTGAAATGGTATAGGCTTATAGGGGGTTGGACTAGCTGACCTCCAAGGTCCCTTCCAACTTCATTATTATTATTATTATTATTATTATTATTATTATTATTATTTATGGATCTTCACACAGTCAGCCAGATGTTCAGATTGGATTTGGCATTTTGTCTACCTATCGAGTCCTTACCCTGGCAATGAAAATTGGAGAAAGAGACCAAGTGACTGCACAAGACCAAGCCTTAAGGACAAATGCATATAAAGTCAAAATTGAGAAGACAGCAACAGACAGTAAGTGCCGCCTATGCAAAGAAGCTGAAGAAACAGTGGACCACCTGGTAAGCTGTTGCAAGAAGATTGCACAGACTGACTACAAGCAGCGGCATGACAAAGTAGCAACAATGGTGCATTGGAAGATCTGCAAAAAATATCATTTGCCTGTAAGCAAAAACTGGTGGGATCATAAAATAGAGAAAGTCATAGAAAATGATAAAATTAAACTGCTCTGGGACTTCAGAATTCAAACAGACAAGCACCTGCAACATAACATCCCAGACTTAACAACTGTCGATAGGAAAGACAAAAAAGTCTGGATAGTGGACGTGGCAGTGCCTGGAGACAGCAGAATAGACGAGAAAGAACTGGATAAGATAACAAAATACAAAGGCCTACAAATAGAAATAGAAAAACTGTGGCAAAAGCAAGCAAGGGTAGTACCAATAGTGATAGGCTCCTTGGGTGCAATCCCAAAACAACTGGAGCACCACTTGAACACCACTGGCATTGACAAATTCGCTATTAGTCAATTGCAAAAGGCAGCCTTACTAGGAACTGCTTCCATCCTGCAACGATACCTGTAATACCATCAAACATCCGTATCTGCCTATCCCGTTGCTCCTTGTCCTGCCTTCAGGCACTTTGGAAAATAGCTTGACTCCCTCTTCTTTGTGGCAGCCCCTGAGATATTGGAACTCTGCTATCATGTCCCCCCTCATCCTTCTCTTTGTTTTTTATTATTGAAAATTTTTATTTTTTAACATACAAACATTATAAAAATACAATAAAATTTTAAAGTAAAATAAATTCATAAGCAACCATTGTCTATACTACCTTTACCCCCCCTTACCCTCCCTCCCACCCCCAACCCCCCTCCCTTCACTTCCCAGAGCAGAATACAGGGTTAATAATAACAAAATTTATAATAATAAAAAAAGAAAAAAAAGAAAAGAAAAAAATATCATAATTAACCTTTAACTCCATAACCTATAAAGCAATTCTCTATAATATTTAATATTCATTCATAAAATAAATGAAACTTTTTAATTCCATACTTTTTCTGAATAATATATCTTTCTTGTGTATGATCCTTTAAATAAGCAGAAATTTTTGCCATTTCTGCAAAACTAGATACTTTAAATATCCATTCTTCTAGAGTAGGCAAAGAAAGTATAAACCTACTAATAACCTCTCTTTGTTAAACTAGACATACACAATTCCAGTAACCGTTCCTTATATGTCAAAGATGTTTTTGTCAGTGTAGGCTTATTCTTTAGAAATTACATTTAGAATTTTTTTTGTTTTATTTTGCTTTCTATAACTACTCTGTGACTTTGCAAAAATACATTTAAGTTGTAAATATGTTTTTTATTTTTTTACTGTTACATTTCATTCATAGACATTTAAAAATTATGTTTAAAAATTTTCATTGCCTATTTCCATCAAGCTGGGACCTATTATCTTATTTTTCATAGAAATATCAGTCTGAATTGTGCAAATTCAAATAATATGACCATTTCATGGGATTCATTATTAGTACTAATTGACATCTACCTATAGTTTATGTATTAAACTCCATAATGTACTTAGGTTGCTAGTTTAGTTAGTCTTTTATAGCCATAAATAAAAAGAAACTTCCCCTATCTTTCCAATTATTCCATCTGTTAATAATTCTTACAACAATTACAAGCTCTTCATCTAATAATATTAAAACTGGAGGAATCTCCTAAATGTCTTCCCTTTGGAGTTAGCTGCGATTTCCCAAAAGGCACAGTGGTGATGGTGGTGTCATGACAAAAATTTATTATGCATTCCTCTGATACTGAGAGAAATCAGAAATATAGCGAATGTAAGATAAAGATAGCTTATCATTTTCATCTCCGAGTTAATGTTCAGCTTTCACTGGCAACTTGCTTCCATTTAGAGCAGTGAAGAGTGAAGACGGATCCTCAACAGGGAGTCATTTAAAGAACTATAGGTTGGCTTGATGGAAATGCACCATCATTCTGAAGAAAAAATACTTAAAGTGCAGGGTATGAAGTGAGAAAAATTTGGCCATGGAAAGTGTTAACTGGCTTACGCATAATAATACTAACGGACTAACTGTACATGATGTTGCTAATACTCACCTGCACTGTCGTTTGGCAATATAATCTGCTTCTATTTCAAAATAAAGGACTTAAAGATAATGCATATAATCTTTAAGCATATTAAATTTCCAAGAAACAATAATAAAAGTAGTAGATCTGTCAATTAAATAACTAAATGCTGCATAACTGAGACAATGGCTAGTCACAACATATACACAATGTTTACACAATTCCACTTTGATGTCCTCAGTTTAGGTATGCTTTGCTGTCAAAATCTGACTTGCCAACAGTGAAACACCTACTATAGCCAATATGCACTAAGCTGTAGGAGTCTTTGGTGTTCTCTGAACTTGGTTATTAGCTTATACATTTCATTATTCAAATAGTGGCTGTTGCACTGATCAGTGCATTGATATT